AAAAGACAGATGAAATTAAAAACTGGGACCAGTAGTACCAAAGGGTGAGACTTGGTGTGCTTTTGGTGTTAATGGTCAAGGTTTTATTCTGCATAGTCTAAAGACTAGTCATTTGGTGTCTACATAGTAGAGGCCTTGGGTCCTAGACCCTCAGTGGGGTGTTCTAAAAAAGAATTTTTTTTTTAAGTTTTACTTATTTTGAGAGAGCATGCATGCACACGTGGTGGGGGGAGGGGGAGGGAGAGAGAGAATCCCAAGCAGGCTCTGCACTATCAGCACAGAGCCTGACATGGGGTTTGAACTCATGAACCCTGTGATCATGACGTGAGCTGAAATCATGAGTTGAATGCTTAACTGACTGAGCCATCCAGGCACCCCTAAAAAAGAATATTGTAAAAGAAAAATACCTCTCTGTTGGTACAGGAAAAATTAAAGAATTGATACAGGAAACTCTCATACCCTGAAGCTGTTGGGTTTGTAAAGGCTCCCTTGAGGATTTCTAACCATGGTTGCTAGGTGGGTTGGATTTAAATTTAAACTGTCTTCAAAGATGGGGAACTCACAGGCACAAATACTACCATAAAAAATGGTAAGAAGTAAAGGCAGAAATCTCTTAGAGTAAGCTCTCAATCCAGGTCATGGGCTGCTTCTAGACAAAATCCTGTTGATGAACTTAGAGTTTAGAACTGTAAGACATGTGAAACAATCCATGTAGGCCAGAAACAATGGCCACCTCTAATCGTGCAGTTAGACTTCCAAGAACTTGCAGTTAATAGAAGTGGTCATCTATAAAATAATATTAAAAATGATTAGATGTAAAAGAAATAAGAATGTAAGAACAAGGCACTATGAAAAAAGGATAAACAGATTTTAAAAACAAATCAAGATAACTTTTGGAAATGAAAAGTATAATCATTCAAATTAAATACAAAGAGGAGAGGTAAAATAGATTAGTCACAGTGGAAGAGAGAATTATTGAACTAGAAGGTAGTCTAAAGAAATTACGGAATAAAGCACCAAAACAGAGATGAAGAATATAAGATAGAATTTAAGAATAAGAAAGTCCAGCCTATTTCCATTAAGACTTTAAAGAAGGAGATATAATGGGGGCGTGGAAATATTTGAGGAGGTAATGGCTAAAGAAATTTTCAGAATTATATAAAAGATATAAACTCGGATTCAGGAGGAAAAGTAGTCCTGAGCAGGGTAAGTAAAAACAAAACTCTCCTGGACATATTGTCACAAAACTGGAAAATATGTAAGGCAAAAAGATAATCTTACAAGTAGCCTGAAAGAATAAGACATCATCTAGCAAGCAATTAGACTTTTGGTAGACTTCTTCATAGTAATAATGGAAGCCAGAGACAGTAGAATAGCATCTTCCAAATGTTCAGAAAAAAAAATCTGGAAAAGTAGCTTTCTATAGTGTGCTACACTTAAGGAATAAAGGGAGAAAAAAACATCAAAAATAAAAAGACTGAGGATTTACCACTCATGGACCCTGTTAAAAGAATAAAAGAGTTCTTTAGCAAAAAGGAAATTGAGTCCAGAAGAATGGTGAAACTTGCAAGAAATTGTGAGCAAATAAACTGGTCAACATGTAAATTTAAATGAGCACTGATAATAAACAACAACAACAACAATAGTTTTAGAAATATAAAAAGATGGGACAAAAGTCCTGATCATTAATTGTATGTAAGACAGGAAAGGATGATAGGAATTACATTTTTTTAAAGTTTATGTCTTTATTTTGAGAGAGAAAGTGTGAGTCAGGGACTCACAGTCAGGGAGTCAGGGAGGGAGAGAGATAATCTGAAGCAGGCTCCATGTGGTCAGTGCAGAGCTGGACACAGGCCTTGAACCCAAGAACCGTAGGATCATAACCTGAGCCAAGGTCGGATGCTTAACCAGCTGAGCCACCCAGGTGTCCAGGAATTAAAATATTAAATTTTTTTTAACATTCATTCATTTTTTTGAGAGAGAGAGAGTGCGAGCAGGGAAGAGACAGAGAGGGGGAGACACAGAATCTGAAGCAGGCTCCAGGCTCTGAGCTGTCAGCATAGAGCCCAACCCAGGGCTCAACCTCACGAACTGAGATCATGACCTGAGCTAAAGTTGGACGCTTAACCAACTGAGGGTAAAGAAGGAAACAGAGTACCTACTTGGTTCACTAGACGATGAGGAAAAGAAGCAGAGAGAAAGCTTGATAAATATACAGTATAAAATACTAACTACAATGCACACAAATGGACTAAATGTACATGTTAAAAGACTCTTATTGGAGTTAAACCAGATCTAATTACATGCTTATTATAAGAGACATACTGAAATATTATGATGCAAAGTTTGAAAGTAAAGGGCTAATATTATACTATACAAACTCAAACCTAGTTAGGAATACTAACAGAATGGACTAAAAAATTCCCTAGTAATAGTCACTTCATAGTGATAAAAAGCATAATTCACTGGGAGTATATAATAATTCTGAACACTTGTACGTCATAGCCATAGATGTTCCGTAAGGAAAAATAAATTCACAATCATGGGAGAGCTTTTATTACTCTTCTCTGAGAAACTGGTAAATCAAGCAGGCTCAGAATTATTAGTAGGGATAGAGAAAATTTGAACAGATCAAATACAGGCTTGGTCTTATGCATCTAGCAATTAAGAAGGGGTATGATTGTTTTGAGCACATATGGCTATTTATATAAAAATTAACCACATAGTGGTTTTTCCAACAAATTTCAATAAGTTCTAGAGAAGAGATACCCTGGAGGTCACATTCTCTGGCTTCATTTAGAAACCACTGGACAAAAAAGATAACATACACTATGGGAGTCAGTCTGTGTTATCTTTTGGTTTTTGAGGATAAAAATATGCTTTAACATAAAAAAGAAATTATGGGAATTAGAAATTATTAGCTATGACTTCTATATAACAAAGTTTTTAGAGTATGCTAAAGTAAAACTTGAGGGGATATTTGGTAGCCTTCTATACAAGAAGGACAAAGTAAGCCGAAATAACTTATAAGGAAAAATTAATAAAGAGCAAAAGTGGACTAGAAGTCAGGGAATTGATAGGATCAACAATTCTGACGAGATAACAAATTTGCAAACTTCTGTAAGATTAATTAAGAAAAAAGGCACAAACAATGGTAGGAATGAAAAGGGGCATACTACAAATACATTGCAGTGAGGAAGAGTGAATACCGTGGAAGAACAATGGGGTGTCTCAGTAAAAGTATTGGAAAGGATTTTTCTTAGGGCTTAGGTGTATGGTAGAGGATTTTGGATAAGGTTCAAGAAAGTGGGACTTGCTATAGATTGGATGCCGTTAGTAGGTGGAGATGGTCCTGTGATTGGGTATGTAACTAAATTTTATGCAGAAGGTGGGAGGAGTTGTGGCTAAAGCTTCAATTAGTGGAACAGCAGCCATCACTCATTTTAGCTAGGGATGTTGGTCATTTTTGTGGTTTGGTTATTGTTCTTGTTTTGTCTGAGTTCTCACATGATTATGCAGTGGTGCTGTTTTCATCTTCCATCTATCACAGTCACAGAGTGATCTTTTCTAATGGTTGATGTTCTTTGAGATTGTTCATGTTCAGCAAGAGAACACCACGGCTTACTTGTGAGTGCCAGGCCAGCTTCTGGCAGCACTAAGGTCTGTCTTACAGGACTAGGCCAGTTCCTGGTTGTCAGGAGCTGCTTTTCTCCTTTTTAGGTATCAAAGAAAACCTAGTAATACCCTAAAAAGTCAGTAATTAATTCATGTAGGTAGGAGATTGTATTGAACTTCCTTGTAGATATATGGACGGTATGTAAAATATTGGTGAGTTGTTTTCAAAAAACTTCTATTGCTGGTTTGATATTTGCAGTTCAGTTAACAAAGAATCCCTGCACCTTTATTTAAATGGATTTCCTTTTTTAATTTGTTACCTTAGTAATTTGTATATATGTGTACTGGCAGTGCATAAAGCATTTTAATTTAATTTTTGAACTCCTGTCTTGAAGTGTGCATTCAGAACCTTGTTGTTACTTTTCTTTTTTTTTTTTTTTTTTTTTTTGTTTTTGTTTTTAAAGTAACCTTTAGTGGTGGCAATCTTTGTTGCTGGATGAAGGATTTCTCATATTTTTTCTTTACTTTTAAGTCAGTTGGAAGTCATTTGGACAGAATGGTTAAATGAGGTAGCGTTGCCTTCATTTAAAAAAAGACCCAATGATTATTAAATAATCTTTGTCTTTTTGTGGCTTTTATACTGCTTTTGGAAGTAACCACTTTGAAGGACAGTGGTGATTTGGATTCATGAATTCTGCATTTTTTTTAATAGGTTACTTTTTAGGTCAGTTATTTTAGGTGGCTATTTTTTCTTTTTTTAGATCAAAAAGTAGGCAAGAGGGATAATAGAACTGTCAGTCATGTTGCACCTTTTAACATATATATTTAGAATAATGTATTGATTGTATTACTTTAAGAATATAAAATAGTGTGGGGTGGGGGCCTGCATGGCTTAGTCGGTTAAGCATCTGATTCTTGATTTCAGCTCAAGTCATGATCTCATGGTTTTTGAGTTCAAGCCCCGAGTCAGGCCCTGTGCTGACAGTGCAGAGCCTACTTGGGATTCTCTCTCTCCCTTCCTCTCTGCTCCTCCCACGCTGGCACTTGCTCATGCACTCTTTCTCTGTCTCAAAAATAAATAAAAAAGAACAGTGTGTGGTAAAAATGAGCTTTTGAAGGTACATCATTTCTCTTAAAAATATATTAAAGCTTTAGTTTACTATATTTTTTTCCTAATAAAACTTTTTTTAAGCTAATATCATAGGCCATAGATGTGGCATCCACAAAGACTGATGAATATTTTTTTTTCCAAAAAGCGAATTTTTAGTAATAAAGAATCCTTTCCTTAAAAAGAGTTTTCATTTAAATGTCATCATTAGGTGTCTTGTTTGATTTTCACTTTTTCAAAAAATCCATTTATCTTTCCTTATTGCTATCGTTGTGTTGATTTTTAAAGAATGTTGCCTAATTTTGAGCAAATTAATGCTTTTATTCCAGTTAATGGCCAACCAAGACCCCTAGAATCAAGTCAAGTGAAGTATCTCCGTCGAGAGCTGATAGAACTGCGAAATAAAGTGAATCGTTTGTTGGATAGCTTGGAACCACCTGGAGAACCAGGACCTTCCACCAATATTCCTGAAAATGGTATACTGTGAATCCATTTTATTCTGCTTTATTCTTACATATTTATAAAATTTATTATTTTAATTTCAGTATACAGCATTATATTAGTTTCAGGTGTAGAATATAGTGATTCAGCGATTCCATACGTCACCAGGTGCTCATCATGACATCCTTAATTCCCATCACCCATTTTATCTATCCTCCCACCACCCAACTCTCCTCTGGTAACCATCGGTTTGTCCTCTATACTTAAGAGTCTGTTTCTTGTTTTTGTCTCTCTCTCTTTTTCCTTTGCTCGTTTGTTTCTTAAATTCCACATGAGTGAAATCATATGGTTATTTGTTTTTGAACTTTTTTTCACTTAGTGTTATACTATGTGCTCATACCTTTTTGCAGTTTTTTTTTTTTTTAAGTTGGCACCTTCATTGTTACCCTTTCTTATTCCTGCCTCTCTGCTAGTATTCAAACCTGCTGTTCTTTAGGATTACCAGGAGAGGTATTTTACCAATTCCTGGATCTCGTTGTAGACCTACTAGAGAGTAGGACCTGGGAATCCCATTTTTAAAGTACTCTCTGGTTGATTGTTTGCAACTAGTCTTAAACCCCTGGGTGTATGAATAGATCAGTTTTCAGATCCCTTTGACTCTTTTGAATCCTTTTCATTGTAATAATGCACCCGAGGAATTGCAGTCATTTCATCAGTTTTATGTGGTATATGAAGTAGTTTCAAATAAAAAATAAGATTACTACATTCAAGAGGTGTATTGTAAAGTTTGTCTTAAACACAATTTTTAGTAATCATGCAAAGAAAAACTTATTTTTTCCATTTTTCAGATGACATGTACTGTTTATATTAAGATGAAGTAATATTTATTGACAAATTTGGAACTGACATACATTTTGGGGCCAAATATATTTAAAAATGTAGACTGAAATTTATGTATTATGGCTTGAAAGTAGATTTTAAAAAACTGCTTTCCTCAGCTTTTAATATTCTTAGATGTTGAACTTAAAAAGCAAACTTACGTTTTGTTTTGTTTTTTACGATTTTTGTGTTTGCATACAAATTACACGCTTAAAACCATCTATATTATGATAGAGTAATTTGTTATAGAGTCTGGATGACTGTGTATAAGGGCCTTAATAAAAGATGTTTTTGTGCGAAAGTGGCATTGTATAATCCTTTGCAGCCATTAGATTCTAAGAGATTGTATTTTTCTGTTCCATTTAGATTTTGGAGTTTTGCTTTCTTTTAATTTAGTAGTTACAGTGTAAATAAAGCTGTCTTTTTGTATAATTTCTCTTCCTCTCTTTCGCTGTATGGAATTGTATTAGTGGTAGATTCTCAATAAATATCTGGTGATTAGTAATTTCTAGTTCTCTCTCTGTATTTCAGAACATATGGGAGATGTGCTGAAATATAGTAAGATCTTCCTGGCCTTTATGTGATGAATCTTACTATATTTCAAGTCAATGCAAATGGTCTTTTCTGAACCCTATCTCTCGAAACATAAGCTCCATTTTTAGGTCAAGAATCTGAAGAAAACTTTTGACGATTTTCTCAGAAGAATTCATAGATGCTGACACAAAAACATTCGCATATAATTTCAGGGGATTTAAGCATCTGTAGAATATTATGAAACTTAGATCAAAATTCAACAAGTATAGCCAGTACTGTGAAGAAATTACCTATAGTAGCCTATGTTCTCCTCTAGGGGATAGAATTATAAGCTTTTAGATTTGGTGAAACAACCTTTCAGTTCTCACATGTTTCTTGCCACTAAATTTACTACTTCTCTTTATTCTTTATTTTCATATATTCATATGTTTATTATTAACTTCATACCTATGTTCATGGAAAAGATGTTGAAACTGGTTCTCTGAATCTTAGAAATTATATCACATATTGTTCCTTTGTGTGGCCTCCCATCTTGTCATGGTGTCCTATCTGAGTTGTCTAATGAGTTTAATAATACATCCTGTGCTTTATTTTTTACGGATGGTTGTAGTGGTACCAGTGCCTGTTGAATACCTTGGTATACTTAGAAGATACTTAAACTTACCATGCTCATGTTTAAAATTTTATCTTATTGTAATTGTTTATTATAATTATTTTATTATAAAAATTTATTTTTGTAATTTATTGTTTCCTCAATAATAAGATCACTTACCTCTTGACCACTTACTTGCCTTCTAAGCTCTCAGAACATATCCTGACTTAATAGTCTTTTCAAGGAAATAGCATAAATAAGCCAAAAAAACCCCTACATCAGAAACTGAAAGTCTAGTCCACAAACAGTGCTGCCAGTCAGCTGTCAGTAGTCTTTAGAACAGTGTGGCTTACCCTCACCCAGAAACATGTGGCTATCTATGTTCTTCAGTGGTCTACCTCCACAGTGGTTCTTGGACACTTTCTTTCCCCTATGAGGAACGTGATGTGTAGGCTACCCTGGATACTGGATTGACCTGTTGCCTTAGCTGTAGCACCAGGCAAAGCAACTAGTAGGCTAGTGGACATACAGTATTGTGTTTCCTAATGGACTTAGTTTGCAGGAAGTGGAAAGTTGAACAGGTAGTGGACTCTGTAGTAGTGTGAGAGGGGATAATTTATAAGCTTGGTCTGATGTCCTCTTGGGGTGTAGCCTTGGAATTAGAGGAGGAAAATGGGTGAGGAAGGTGGATAACTGTAGACTTATTTTAAAGGAGTCTTAATCACAGAGATGATCTAATAACTGATACTCAGTTACTTGTTTGGTGACAAAAAAAACATAATTGAATAAATGGTTAGCAATATTCTTTTTGTTTCCTTAGTTTTTAAAAAAAAATTTTAATGTTTATTTTTGAGAGAGAGAGCGAACGCGAGCGAGTTGGGGAGGGCAGAGAGGGCGACACAGAATCTGAAGCAGGCTCCAGGCTCTGAGCTGTCAGCAGCTCAGGTACCTATTTATAAGATGTGGGTTGTTCTTGAACCCCTTTTCTTTCACGCGGTAGTGGTACCAATGCCTATTGAATACCTTAGTATACTTAGAAGATACTTAAACTTACTATGCTCATGTTTAAAATTTTATTTTTCTATTAAAGTATGGAAAAACAGACAAAAGTAGAAATACTTTAATGAATCTCATGAACCACCTCCAACCTCAACAGTCACCAACTCATCAGTACCATGCCATCTCTCCTCCCATACATTTCCACCTGTTATTTTGAGCAAATCTCAGACATCATTTTGCTATAAAGTATTTTAAGGGAGACATAGCAAATTAAAAGGATGTGTTTAATATATTGGTTGGCTTGAGATTTCCATGCAATTAATAATGAACAAATAGACAGGTAGAAATAAAACATAAAAGTTGATATCATAACTTCAATGAAGCTGCTTTATCCTTTCACAAAATGATGCATTAGTACCCAGTATGTATCCGATAGTAGGAGATACATATATATATATATATATATATATATATATATATATATATATATATATATATATATATATATATGTGTGTGTGTGTGTGTGTGTGTATATATATACACACACATATATATACACACCCACACACACATATATATATACGTATACATGTGTATATATATATACGTGTGTGTATATATACATATGTATATATGGGTCATGGGGCTCCAAAAAAAGGGGCAAAATATTTTTCTCTGTTAAGGAGCTCATAATTTTTTTTCTCATCTAGTAATTCTTAGGGAAAGAGGTAGATAAGATTTTTTGGAAAAAGCTGTTTTTTTTAAATTTTTGATCCTTCTGATTTTAAAAATAAAGGTATAAAAAGGAAAGTAAAATTATCTATGATCCTATATTCAGAGATATTTACTCTTAACATTTCAGACTGTATGTATTCTTCTGTATTTTTTAAGCCTTACTGAATATAGATAAAATTGAACAAGTTTTTGTTTATTCCTCTCACAGATACTGTGGATGGTAGGGATGAAAAGCCTGCTGCTTCTGATTCTTCTGGAAAACAGTCTACTCAGGTTATGGCAGCGAGTATGTCAGCTTTTGATCCTTTAAAAAACCAAGATGAAATCAATAAAAATGTCATGTCAGCGTTTGGCTTAACAGATGATCAGGTTTCAGGTAAGTTAGTTCCTCCCTCACATCCTTCATTCCCTCTCTTCTCTCTCTTTCTTTCCTTCTGTAATAGAAGGATAACAGATAACAGTGATGTGCATAAAGGTTGACTTAAAGGTTCAGTTGAATAAATTTTTACTTTTGTCTACATCTACAGAAAACATCAATTAAGTTCAAGACATAGATGATTTCCAGCACTCAGGAAAGCTTTCTTATGCACTTTCCCAGTCAGTAGAATCCTACCCTTGAAAGAATAATCATTGTTTGGTTTAGGTGAATTTTATCAAAAGTGGAATTCAGAAAGTTTATATTTTTTTTAAAAATCTGAACCATTTTATAATCTTATTTCAGTTTTGTTGTAGGATTTAAATTATATTTGATGCCATCTTCTCTCTTTGGATGTTTAATTAGAGAAATTGAAATTTAAATATAGATTTTTGGTTTACTTGCCTTGTGTAGAAAGAGCTCTTATAATGGATGGTTTTAACCTTTTTTAAAAAAGCACCTATACTGTGATTTCTTTATTTTTTGACTGTCATTTCTTCAATATTTTTTCTGCTGTCTTCCCTCTTCAGATTCCAATTACACATACAGCCTTAGAATTTTCATTTGATTCTTTTTATAGTTTATTTTTTTCTTTTGGGATTCCTTACCTTTGCATTTCATTAAGACTATATTTCCCTTTAACTTATTGATGCATTTTTAATTCTTTAAAAATATTTATAATAGCTGCTTGATGTTTGTCTGCTTCATTCAACATCTGGTCCTATTTGGAGTCCAGTTTCTTTAGCCTGTCTTTTTTCCCTGAGTATGGGTCACATTTTCCTGTTTCTTTGCATATCTGATGATTTTTTTATTGAAAACTGTACATTATGATTAATACATTGTAGTGACTTGAGATTTTTTTTTTTTTTGAGATTTTTTTTGTTACTGCTACTCTGGCAAGGAGTAAACTTGTATGTATTCAAACTACTCATTCTTTTTTCCCATGAAATAAAGCAGCTAATATCTGTATTCAGTCCTTTCAACTCTTGGTGCTGCTTTTTTTTTTTTTTCTGAGCCCTCTTATGTCTCCTCCTCGTAACTCCATGGCTAGCTGAGATTTGGGGGCAGAGCTTATACTGACTTTTTAGGTCTCACTTCTTCAGTGGCTTTTTTACTGCAGGGATATTTTCCCTCAAATTTCCAGGTAGTTGGCCAGCCATCAAGTTCATACTATGGCTTTCTGCTGTTGGGGCTGCAGAGGTCAGGGCCTGTCATTCTCATCCACTGTAATTCACTGGGGGGTAAACTTTTCTGGTTTCTGCTGACATTTGATTGACTTCTAGTGATTTCAGATAGTTGTTTTCTGCTATTTTACAGGTTTTTAGTTTTTAACTCTGAGAGTGTTCACCTGACCATTTTCATTGCCATTATCAGTAACTGGAAATGTAGTATTCAGTCTATTTTTTTTTCTTTGAGACTTTTATGGGATTATTTACTAAAGAGAATTGTGTGAAATTCTGGAGAGACAAATATTTGTATATGATGCATGTTCTTGGCAAAAGAAGACATTGCACAAGAGATATATCTGAAAATCACTTTTTAAAGCAACTGAAATTTGAGTTACTGTTATGGTTTCTTACTATTTACGACTTGAAGAAATGGCAAATGGAGGAGTAAATAGGAAGTCAGGCTTAACATTTTGATTAGAGTATATGCCACACCCTAGAATAACATGATTCACATTATTTGAAGGCCATTTTTCTGATACCTTTGTGTGTTAAAGTAAGAAAAACTGTGCACATAGAAAATACCAGGGGGGTACGTTGTAGTTATTTGGGTGTGCTATTGTGAAAAGCTTGACTGCAATAGTGAATGTGAACATGGAAGGAGGGATAAAATATTATAGAGATAAGATGGGTAGCATTAACTAATAGGTTACATACAAGAGAGAAAAGAGGAGTCAAAATAATACACTTTTTTTTTTAGATAATACAGTGTTTTTTGTAGGAGAGAGTGTATGTGTATGTATTTACATGTATGTAAATATCAATAAAATGAGCAAATTGTCCATTTTACTCTGGTAATCATTAGTTTCTCCTGCATTGCCACTTTGTTATCCTAAACCTAGTTTAGGTTCTCATCAATACCTGGACTACCAGTTGCCAACTATATAGTTGCCTAATACAGAGCTAAGTTCTGGGATATATCAGTGTGGAGGATAGAGGTTTGCCCTCAGGGAAATTAGACAGATTGTAATAGCAAGTCCCTGTGTGGAACTTTCTAAATGGTTGTCACTTTCATAAGCTCTTGCCATATAATCATTTAAAAAAAAATTTTTTTTTTTTTTAACGTTTATTCATTTTTGAGAGACAGAGACAGAGCATGAGCGTGGGAGGGCCAGAGAGAGAGGGAGACACAGAATCTGAAGCAGGCTCCAGGCTCTGAGCTGTCAGCACAGAGCCTGATGTGGGGCTCGAACTCACGAACTGTGAGATCATGACCTGAGCCAAAGTCAGATGCTCAACTGACTGAGCCACCCAGGTGCCCTGCCATATAATCATTTTTACAAATATTTGCTATAAGCTCCTGTTAACTCCTAATCCTTGTAGTAACCTAAGTGAAGTAGAAATTAGTATTTCTTTCATACAGATGAGGAAACTGAGGCACAGAAAGAGATGAGGTGACATGCCCAAAGTTATAAAGCTTACTAAGTGGCAGCACTGGCATTTGAACCTAGGCAGTCTGGCTCCAAAACCTGTGCTTTTAATGACTCTTGTATATTGCTGAACAGAAAGAACTTAAAGGAATAAACATATCTACAGTTGTCTTCACAGTGTCTTTTTTGACTGTCACAGTACTGGAACTCTAGTGAATTCTGTCCATTTACTTCTTCATTATTTTAGAAGAATTTGAGTGGCTCCAAGAATTTGAGAGGTAGTCTTTGTGAGGCATACGAAAAGAATCAGAAAGGACTCTGGCCAAAAGAGCTTGTAGTCTTAAGAGGAAGATGGGACCTGTTCAGAAATGCAAAGTAGAAGTTGGTAAGGGTCATCATAAAAGTATACTCTGTAGAAGTTTAAAAGTGGATAAAAGTATTTATGAGTGAAGAGGTCTTACTGGAAGTATAGAGTAGTAACTGGGGTTTAAAGACCATTATATGTAGATACATGAAATTGGGACTGGAGGCGACAGTGATAAATGAAATGGAGGCAGAAAAAAATACTAGATATATTGTGGGCTCGGGAAAAGGTTAGTTTTAGCTGAAGTGGGCACGTGAGAGGAGGAATTGTGAGAAACAATGTTTGGACCCTGGAATACCAAACTAGAGGGTTGAACTTGATTTATGGGCAATGGGGACCCGTTGAAGAATTAGGTGATACTTTTGGTTGATCCACAAAATAAATTAGGTAGCATGAGGTGGAGGATATTGGTATGGCAGAGAGGGCTTCTGATTTTTGCAGGGGGGAAGTTAGGACTTAGGAATATAACGCTGCACATCATAGGGAAGGATTTCCAGTCATTGCTATGTCTTTTTTTTTTTAATTTTTAAATGTTTATTTATTTTTGAGAGAGACAGAGTGTGAGCAGGGGAAGGGCAGGGAGAGAGGGAGACACAGCATCTGAAGCAGGCTCCAAGCTCCTAGCTGTCAGCTTGGAGCCCGATGTGGGGCTCGAACTGATGGACTGCGAAATCATGACCTGAGCCGAAGTTGGATGCATAACTGACTGAGCCACCCAGGCGCCCCTGTTGCTGTGTATTCTTAAGAGAGTGAAGCAGAGGAAAAAATGAAGTATATACATTCAGTGTAAAAGGCTATATTTGTGGTTGTGCTTACTCTGTAGTACTTTCATTTTTGTTCTCTTTTAACCAAACTTATTTGTTCAGCTTGCTGGGGAGAATTCTCGTATTAGAAACTAAACTGACTTTTCATGACCATTTAGGGCCACCCAGTGCTCCTGCAGAAGACCGTTCAGGAACACCTGACAGCATTGCTTCCTCCTCCTCTGCAGCTCACCCACCAGGAGTTCAGCCACAGCAGCCACCTTATACAGGAGCTCAGACACAAGCAGGTCAGAGTGAAGGTAAAATAGAAATAAGAGCACATATTTGGGGAGGTAAATGTGTAGAGATGTTTATTGCAGCATTGTCGGTGATGATAAAGAGATTACATAACCATTCATGCTATAAATACAGTTGTAAAAACTTTTGATTTACTGATAACGGTATGTTTTGGGGTTAAAACCCAAATAGAACAATATGTCAGATATGCTTCTGATTATTGAAAAGAAGAATACCTTAAAAAGTGCTTGTATGAATATAGATACATGGCAACCAATCAGGAAGGATTCATACCAGTCACCAGTCAGTGGTAATGTCAGAGATGACCCATTGAGGTGACATTTCATATTGCATAATAATACTTAGGTGCTTCCTTTCCCTTCTTGCATCAGTGTATTATTTTTGTAATTGGAGCTATTTTTAAAATAGAAGTAAAGCATAACTGTAGTTAAGTGTAATTTTTTGAAAGATAAATAGCCCTTAAATTTTGTGCAGTTAGCAATATGTAATATGTCTTTTGTGGAAAAACAGTGTATTTTAAATCAAACTTGTCTTCTCTAAATGATGTGTCCTTGGATGAGCAGTTCAATCTCTCTGGGTTTAATATTCTCTCGTGGTAAATTATGAAAACTGGACAAAATTAGTGGTATTAAAAGACTGTCTCTAGTCCCAAATGAAATAGAACTTGAAAGCTCAGTATTTAAACAGATAAAGGGGTCATTACCATGGTTGAAGGGGACTGAGGGGCCACAAGCTCAGGACAGCAGGCACTGAAGTTTAAAAACTGCGCATTCCACTTGAAAACAAACACCAGGTGGTGCTCTATTTGTGTATAAAAGGGTCAAGTGGTGGTATGTATTTTCAGCAACAGAAGCAAGTGACTGAGTTTATTAATCATATAAAAAAAAAAATTTATCGCCTAAAATGAACTGAGCACTTAGGTAATAGAGTTCTAATCATCCTGTGGCTACATTTTTAGAGTTGTCCTGTTGGATGAATGCTAGTCATAGGGTCTAGCAGGTTGCATTTTGCTGATGAGTGAATAGTTTGGGAAGAATTTCTTACTGCTTCAGCTTTTTCTCAACCATCCCTAGTTATAGTCTTTGTACAAAGGTGCAGCTGCCCCAAACTGGAACAAACTAGAAGCAGATGTGGACTACAACAGCGAAAGCAGAGTTTGGGTATGAAGGGAGTTTAATGGCTCCTTATGTTACTTAAATTCCATAAAAAGGGCCTTGGGATTGAAAATATTTTTCCTAAGGATTTTACTCCTAATACGTTCTTCAGTTCAGGTCAGCTTTCATCTCTGTTTTTAAAAATGCATCTTAAGCAGTGTATACTGTTGTAGAATGGCAGTTGGAGGGATAATTGTACCAAATAATGTTTGCTGTTCACTTATAAAGGAATGAGATTTAAGGCTCTGTTAATGTCTCAAATTATTTTGTTGGGTTTATTTTAATTGAAAAATTATTTTCAAGCAGGTAAAAATTTAAAAATACAATTCACAAATTCTCTCTCCCACCTCTGACCCATAGCAGCCAAGTTCCTTTTTCCAGAGGCATCAGGTTAACAGTGTTCAATATGCAATGAATTCATTTAGCATGGCATTAACTGTGTACCTTGCTAAAACTTCTTTATTTTCTATTTTATTAGTTTACGTTAAAACATACACTATAAAAATTGTACAGTTATTGACACGTGACATCAATCAGTAGTGTTCTGGAGGTGAGTTTCTAGATCAGTGCTGTCCAAGAAAAAGAACAGTGGAAACCACATGTAATTTTTTTATTTGTCACACTTAAAAAGGTTTTTAAAAAGGTAAAATTAATGTTATACAATTTACATAACCTAGTATCTAATGTATCAACATGTAATTATTAAAAAGTTACTAATGTTTTACTTTTATTTTTTTGTACTGTGTATTCGAAATCTGGGGTGTGGCACCAGTTCGAAACACTTCCAAAACATAGAGTATATCGTAGTTAAGACTAGCGGCATTTCAGGTGCTTAGTAGCCATGTGGCAATTGTATTGGATAGCACAGCCCTGGCTTAATATATCAGTTATTTATAGGATGAAGTATGGTCCATTTTAATGAGTACTTTTTGACCTGTGAAGTATATTGAGTCCCTGACATCACCAGTTATATCAGCCGCTGGTTATAATTTGAAGAGAAAATCAATAAAAATCCATTACTAATAATAGGTTAACATAGGAATTTCTTATAAGACAATATGAAATAATCTAAACTAAATCTGAGTTGTTATTTAAAGTCCATAAAAGGGACCTTGGAATTACAACTTTCCCCCCAAGGATTTTGGTCTTTTTTTTTTTTTTTTTTTTAATGTTTATTTACTCTTGAGACAAAGAGCGTGAACAGGGGAGGGGCAGAGAGAGAGGGAGACACAGGATCCGAAGCAGGCTCCAGGCTCTGAGCTGTCAGCACAGAGCCCGATGTGGGGTTCGAACCCGCGAACTGTGAGATCATGACCTGAGCTGAAGTCGGACGCTTAACCGACTGAGCCACCCAGCCACCCTGGATTTTGGTCTTAATATGTTTGATTAAAAACATATTGTTGAGCATCACGAAAAGAAACAAAATGGAGAGTATTATCCTTTTTCAGACAAAGTAGGCACCTCTGTTATTGGAAAACTATGTGCAGTTGAGTAGTTGGCCAAAAACTTTGAAGTGGTGAGGACACAGAGAAGAGCATTAAAAAATCATCAGGGAGACCAGGAGGTTTTGCTGTTTGACAAACTAACCAAAAAGGTGAAAAGGCTAGAATTAAAATATGTAAAATCTTCTGATAATAGAATGATAACTTGAATAGAAACATACACAAAAGTAGAACTAGAATATCAACTCTACATGAGTCCATTATGCAGCTTCAACACTTACCAATGTTTTGGCATTCTATTTTCATGCATCCTCCTTGGTCCCCTTCTTTTTTTTTTTTTTTTTTTTTTTTT